ATACTGTCTTATAAAAATACAAATAGACCTAAAATTGAAAGCAACATTTTCACCGACCGTTTACATGATTTTTAGAAGGTTATATAAGTTTGAACAGCGTTTTTATTAGAAAACATATGAAGGAAATACATATTGGGAAATACAGTTTTGTGGCAATAAATAAAGAAAATAGTACAATAACTACGCCAAATATATTTGAAAAGAAAAAAAATATAATTGTCTACTTTTCTGTATTTATTTGCTGATCGCGCTCTGTGGAATTATGCTTTCGGTGGCTAAGTTTATTCTTTGGCGGAAGTAGCTGCTTGCCTTCTGGTTACTCGAAGCTTAAATGACGAGTATTGAAATCTCCTTAGCGAGGAATTTTGCCTAAGGTTCCCGAGCATTTTGGGTTTTTACCGAATAGGCCCTGTATGATTGGCATATTTGTTTTTATATTACATTTAATTTTTATATTACATATTTTTTATTTTATTTAAATATTTCTGACTCCCCGCCGATTCGGATTGGGAGTGAAATTTCAAGCTTATTAAGCTAGTAGATATTAAGCTTATTTTGATCAGGGAATTTAATTTTCAGGTTACTTTTCTCTACCTAATTTCGGTGGCAATATATATTATTTGAATATTCTAGAACATTATCATGAAATACTATTATAATATTTTACTATAATATACTCGTATACCTAAGTAATAAAAATTGCCACCGAAATTAGGTAGAGAAAACTAATATAAAAATTATCCAAAGTGTCATGGATCAGATCATCGACTGAAGAGAGAAGGGACTCGAATTTGTGGAGGTATGAGCGTAGAAGGTCGTAGGTCGGTTATTCCGGACTAGTGTTCACTACTCTAATTTACGTGGCAATTTTTATTATTTTAGTATTCGATTTTTTTATCGCGCAATATTATTTAAATTTGAGCATTGTATCGTGAAATATTATTTAATAATTCGACTTTTCCAAAGAACAGAGTCCGATGTGATTACACACTGAAAAGCTGGATGAATACATAATTTCGTTATTCAAAATAAGGTCTATTTATAGATGTTTTCAGAATTTTTATATTTTATTTCATTTCGGAAATATAAAATCGAACAGTTACAGTCGATCTAATATCCACAGCTAACAACAGCGAACGAAATGTACAATGTCCTGAGAATAAACAGTCTTGCACATAGGTATTTGTTCTACGGATGAGTCGATACTTGAATATTTAAATAATAAAAATTACCACGAAAATTAGGTAGTGAACACTAGTCCGAGAAAGACCGAGGTATATTTAGGGACAACAGAATCATCTGCAATAGATTGTACTTTGAAAGTAAAGTTAATGCAAAAAACGTTGACAACCCTACGAAAATGGCAAATGGTTATTTGTTAAATCGTGGGCATTAACTTTCCATTTTTTCACAAACCAATTGGAAATTAATCAGTATTGGAACTAGCACAATTAACATATGATGTTATTATTTGTAGCCTTTTGTGTTTGATTTGCAATTTTTTTTAAAACTTCAGCAAAACAATGGCACCGAGACTTTCAATACCTATTGCGTAGTGTCCTTTATGAGATATTTTTACACTTTAATTTGCATACTTCTGGCTGTAAAAAATTCAGAAAGGGTGCCTTTATGAGTTTTTTTAAATTGGTACATTGTTTGGTTCCAGTCTATATGTGCACCGACATGAAGCTAATAAATCGCGGGTTGAGTTGTAAAAAGGCCTTATAAAGACTCCGCACACAGCCTTGAAAAATGTTAAAAGGTACACTAGACAAAATGTAAATGAGAGGTCTTTGTGTTTACGTTTAGTGGTCAGAACGTCTCTGGCACGGTTTATTGTCGACATAAGTACATTTTTACTGATTGGAATACTGCTTTACTTCTAATTTATAAATTATCGTTTCATACCATTGTATGTTGTTATACTGTGTGTGACTGTGTGTGATATTGTGAAACTTTTCTATATAGTTATATATATAGTTAGTTAAACGTGAGTTGAGCGATCAAAATGGCTCGTTGAAAGGTCCAAACACAGTCTTGAAAAATGTAAAATATACGCTACTCGAAATATAAATGAGGTCCTTTTGTGTTTACGTTTAATGGCCAGTACAACCCTAGTGCAGAGAAATGGGTATATTCAGTAAAAAGAACACTTGATTTTATATTTTTGTATCGTTATATTATGCAGTACTAAGGAGGGTATCGTATGGGTTTAGGTAACTGACTAACATCATGGGATCGACTTTTACGGTTGAACACATGAGTGTTATTGTTTGGATGACAATAAAATATTCCAGTATGAATGGGCTATTTATATGTGCGGAAAATTGAAATAAATTTTCCGCACAAGCGGAAGCGACAAATTATAAAACATTGATAAAAAAGGGATTTTATAGAGTTTACTTACAGTATGAGCTGTAAATATCTACTTATTTCGTATTTGTTGACTGGGTCTGAGCTCATCATTACCTTTTATTGCACTCGAAATATTTTGTAGAAGAAATAAATTGGCACGTATTTACACAGGGCGTATTATAAGTTTCCGGAACTGGCACTTACATAAACAATTTTGGAAAAAGTAATTACAACATTTGAAAATGGAACTCTTTGTCTGTAGCATACAGTTTGTTTCATCTGACTGTCACTGTGATTGGTTGTCTACATCACCATGGATTTAACTCGTGAAAATTTTCGTAGTATGATTTTCTACGACTCCAAGTGTAATTGAACAGCTCAACGGAGCTTCGCTCGGCTTCAAACTGCTTTTGGCGATGAAGCACCATGCAAGACGACCATTTATAGCTGGTTTGCTGAATTCAAACGCGGTCGTGTGAATCTCAGTGACGAATTTCGTGATGGTCGCCCATTCACTGCTGCGAACAATAAATACGTCGATGAGATTCGGGCATCTTTGGGCATAGGTATGAGTCAAATACAATCAATACTACACAAACATTTGGGTGTGAAAAAGCTGTGCAGTGGATTCCACACAATTTGACTGAGGCCCAAAAAACGGATCGTGTCACTTTCAATGAAGGGGCGTCAAATTTGGTGTGGGACTTAGTAACAGGTGACGAAACAAGGATTTATAGTTACGATCCCAAAACAAAACAGCAATCGAGCGTATGGGTGTTTCGAGATGAGCCGAAACCAACCAAAGTGGCGCGCGTGGAAAGTGCCTTTAAGCGGATGATATCTTCTTTTTTTAATAAAACTGGACCCGTGGCTACTGTTGCTTTGGAAAATCGTTGTACTGTGAATAGTGGTTGGTACACGACCATTTGTTTGCCGGAAGTGACTGAGAAGCTCCGTAAAAATAACCGTAAACGCCGTACCATCGTGTAACACGATAATGCCAATTCTCACATGGCCAGACACACAAGTGAATTTTTGAAGGTGAACAACTTTGACCTTATGAGCCATTCCGCGTACTTGTGCTTTTATTTATTTCCAAAAATTAAGAATCAGTTACGCGGTCAACGATTTTCATCACCTGAAGAGGCTGTCGAAGACTATGAAAAATATGTTTCAGAGATTGTCGCGGAGGAGTGGCATAAATGTTTTCAAAATTGGTTCATTCGTATGAAAAAGTGCATTAACGCTAACGGAGAATATTTTGAGAAACAATAAATTTTATTCTAACCATTTATAGTATTTTTTTCTTATTCGTTCCGGAAACGTTAATTGCCATATCGTACGTCACAAAGAGTTATTTAATTTGTTTAGATCATAGTTTCTCAAAGTGGGCGCTGAAGAGTCCTAGGGGGGCTCGGTTGAGTTGAGTAATTGGGAGGCGTTGAAGCTGTGCAAGGGGCGTTACCGCATTTGAAAAAAAAAACCTGAATTATCTATATAAACTACACACTGCATACATATATTTTTTCTTTGTGATTTTTTGTGTTAAGTTAATATAAAACAATTTGTGTTTTCAGTTATTTTTTGTGCTTGTGGGCGTCGAAATTTTTTTTATCTTGCCTAAGTGGGCGGTGAGTCCAAACGTTTGGAAACCTACGGTTTAGACTAACATTCTTCATACTAGGACTTATGGAATATTGCGTGTAGCATTTTGTAAGGAGAGTGAACTAGATTTTGCGGATAAGCATGACTTGCAGAGGCCGTTACCTCTCAGTTAAATACGAATTTCATAGTTGAATAATACTAACCAAGCGTCTTTAACATTCGATTTTTTTACTGTATAAATCTCGCTTTATTAGGGTTGATTAGTCTTACTAATAGGGTTTCTTAAATCTCCTGAAAGAAACAGGAAAATTGTCGTGCCTTCGCATATGTCTAAGAAACATGTAATAATATGTGTACTGAGAAACCATCCTTGACACTTCTTAACGAGGCATCCTTTTCAATATATCAGCTTAAAAAAAATCAACTGTTTTTTCCGAATAAAATTCACATTGGATTGTTAATGGCACAAAGGGAGTTTTATACATAAAAGATTTTTGCACTAATGTAATTGGCATGACGTGATTTTTCGTTTGCATTTCGGTAGTACCGAGTAATTTATTCGTATTGCCTTTGAAAGTACGAACGTAAGTATAATTACATTGTTATCATACAAAATTGAAATAAAAGGGTTTGATATATATACATGTGGGGAATTGAAAAGTCACCTCCAGGTAATATGGATTATTTATACGATGTTGATTATTATTCTAACCGCTATTTACATAAAAACAAAAGAGAAGACAGAGGGGATAGACCGCGAAAATTATTTCCGGGCGCAAAATATAAGCGGGGATTTATACTTACATAAATTTCCGGAGATGGTATTTTCGCGGATTTCTACAGATTTTCGGGTTGTGACTTAACAAAAGTGTCCTTTAGGGAAACATTTTGCCTTGCTACAGGTGCATTAAACGGCGTAAATATTAATGTTGAATTTCTAACATAGCTAGTGGAGTACAAAGAAGACCATAGAATTTGGGAAAAATAAAACTGGAAGTTGATTTGTCAAGCCAGGTTGTTTGTAATTCCAAATATAAAAAGCGGCAGGTAAAATTTGTTACACTTTATACGACTCACTACCATAGATATTGTGCATACTGTTTCTTGATTTTCGATACAATACTTCTTTTTCTTCGTTTTGTTTTTTAATTTCCTGTAACTAATAAAATAGTTTGTGTTAATTTTTAAGTCATACTTAATGTTAACTCATTTTTCAATTCCATTGCCTAGCTGCTGTTTATACAAAAATATCACAGCCTACTTATACAAATAGTTCCTTTTTAATTCTGCAATTATGTATATTATTAAAACCTCGCAAATGACAGTACAACGACCGCATAAATGACAGTACAAAACTTGTAGTCGTTATATTTTTTATTCGTTAAATTGACTCCGTGGCCAAACGGTTACCTTGCCAAACTGCCATGCAGAGGTCCCAGGTTCGATTCCCGGGCCGGGAGAAATATTTGTACAGCCTACATTTATTTCTCTCGTGAGTTTGGGTGTAATTTGTGGTTGTCTATGTGTGTGTCCATGGCACCCGCGACACAGGGTTTCCCTAGTACGGGGCTATGTTAAGTGTACACGTTATTATTATTATTTTTTTTTTTGTTTTTTGTCAGTTTTGACTTATTTTATGTTGTTTTTTTTTTGTTTTATTATGTTAAATTTTTTTGTTTAATAAGTGAATCTTTTGATTTTGTTTTGTGTGTCTGTTGAGTTGTGGCTTTGGCGTCTATATCTGTATCTGTATTTGTGTCTGTATCTCTATCTGTATTTGTATCTGTATCTGTATCTGTATCTGTATCTGTATCTGTATCTGTAT